AGGTATCTGAGCCCTAAAATAGTCTTGACCCCAAAGAACCATATTCCCAAGAAACACACCCCACCCCTTGGAAAAAAAGAAATAGAAAATCCTGAGCTGGCCGCACCTAGTGTCTATTTTCCATCTGTGGCTCCTCCAGAAAGATTTTAAATTTATCCACGCTAGACCCTTTGAAGCAGAACCAAGAACCTAGGTGGGAGCTCCTGGAGTCTAATAAGTACTTTTTCCCCTTGGAGACAACTGTGGAAAATATCTGCATGCTACTCCAGCAAAGGAAAAAGTGTTGTGAGAAATGTTCTGGGTAAGGGCTTGGTTTCACTCGGGGAGGAAGATGAAGTCCTTCAGGAAAGACTTGGAAAATTTCACGTCCACTGAAGTTCTCCACCAAGGACCCTTTAACCTATATATCCTGGTTTTTTTTTTTCTTCCCACTCATTTCTCACCCAGAATAATTGCTTTGTTGCCATACCTTCAAAAAACGAAGATATATTAAGCAGATAAAGGAGACAATGATTGCCTGGCCTAAAAACTTTGGACATGCAAAGAATTAGATAAATGGCAGAAACTATGGGATAGAAATATTAAATTGACTATGTCAACTGCATACAAAGAAAATCTGTATAAAAATGTTTTTCTAGATGGCATTTTGCACCAGCAAGACTGGCAAAAATGTTTAAAGATTGATCTGCTAAGTGCTGGAAGTGTAATCAGTCATCTGGTTCATACTACCATATGTGGTGGACATGCCCAAAAGCTAAAAAATACTGGACGGAAATACATACTTGGTTGGACAAAACGATAAAGCAACACAATAGACTTGAAACAAGATATTCTTGTTTTCGGCATTATACCGGAAAAATATGATAAAAAGACTATAAATCTGGTTTGACATATGCTAACCGCAACCAGAATTGTATTTGCACAGCAATGGAAAAACAATGAGATTTTGTCAGATGAGAAATTAATTAAGAAAATACTAAAATGTGCAGTAATTGATAGATTAACACTATTAAGGATAAAGAAGAAACTGATTTTTTTTTAAATATGGGATGTATTTTATCAATGGCTAGACAACAGAAACAAGTCAGAAAGGAGGAGATATAAAAAGAGGAAATATTAATGTGGAGAGTTGTTAAAGAAGATGTCAAGTATTCTTGTTTTTATATTATGATGATGATGAATACAACAGCAAATATGTGGACTATGTTTAAAAATAACTGTACCCAGTTCACACACTGTTCGGTGGAATTTGAATGTTATATAAATAAAATAAATAAAACATGAAAAAAAAATGAAGATTCATTAGATGTCATAAAAAGGTGTTCCTTATCTAAAGAAGCTTAGCTTATAGTTACAAGTCTCTCTTCAAGGACTTCATCTTCCCATGTGAAACTAAGCCCTTACCCAGAAAATTTCTCACAACAAACCTCCAGTAAGATTTGTGCTGGGAAGAGCAACTATTGTAGGATCTGTGCCATGATTGGTTTTCCAATCTTAGAACTCTGGACCCATGAAGCATCTTCTAAACTGGAAGCCTCCCAAAGCTGGGCTTGAAAATTTGTAAAATTCAGAGCTACAAGTTGAAAAAGCCCAAATCGCTGTACGGTAGCTCTCCCTCCTTCTGAGCAGCTGAATCTCTAGGGAGGAAGCAAGGTAGAAGGGACCACTCCAGTCCTGCATTGGCAACAGCCTGCATTTTAATGCACAATGCTCAATATCCCCAAAGTGCTTTTGAAGACATAACTCGACTTTCTTCTCCTTTCCCTTTCCCTTATCCTTCTCCTTTCCTCTCCTCCCTCCCTCCCTACAAAACCTGCCTATTTGCCCTTCCTCCCTCCCTTCTTTCCTCCCTCCCTCCCTACAAAACCTGCCTATTTGCCCTTCCTCCCTCCCTTCTTNCCTCATTTCACCCACCTCGGAAGGATGGAAGGCTGAGTCAACCTTGAGCCAGTGAGATTAGAACCACTCAACTGCATATAACAGTCAGCTGAAGTGGCCTGCAGTACTGCACCCTAACCACTGCGCCACCTCGGTTCTAAGTATGAAGTCCATGGAAGTCAACTTGTGACTGAAACTGTGAAAACTATGATTCTGGTAATCTTTTGAAATGAGCATACAGAAAATCATTTAGTCATTAGGTAGAAGTCATAGGCTCATCCCATACATCGTGGTGATCATCAAAGGGCGAAAATTAAATTGGGCTATTGGTATCATCCTGGTCATGTTGTTCCTGGTAAGAATTCATTAAACTTGTAAGCTAGGTAAAAAGATAAAGGTAAAGGTTTCCCCCGTGCATATGTGCTAGTTGTTCCCAACTCTAGGGGGCGGTGCTCGTCTCCATTTCGAAGCCGAAGAGCCAGCGCTGTCCAAAGATGTCTCCGTGGTCATGTGGACGGCATGATTAAATGCCGAAAGTGGTCCCTATTTTTCTACTTGCATTTTTACATGCTTTCGAACTGCTAGGTGGGCCAAGTAACGGGAGCTCACCCCATTACACAGCGCCAGGGATTCAAACCGCCAAACTGCCAAACTTTCTGATCAACAAGCTCAGCATCTTAGCCACCGAGCCACCGTGTCCCTTGTAGGCTACCCACTCTCAATGATCTGGGAGGTTTAGAACAATACAATAGATTACAACAATGTGAATAAAATATAAAAACTGAAGGTAAAAGATGGCCAGGATGATGAAGCAAGGGGTCTCACTCTTCTTCACTGAAGGACTGGGAGAAGAATGAAGTCTTCATGGCCCCTCTGAACAGTACCAGAATGAGGGCCATCTGTGTCTTGAGGTGACCCCATTCCAGAGGGACACTTCTATAGAGAAGGAACACCTCTGGGTGCCTGAGAGAGGACATTGTTTAATCAAAGAAATATGAAGAATGCCAACTTTGCAGGATCAAACTGGCTAGGCTAATATTATGGGAAACAATGGTTCCTCAAGCAACCAGATTCTTTGCCATGGATGATGTCATATCATGACTTTGTCAACTGTTTCATATCTCAATGCTTCAAGCTTCAAACATTTCTTGCTTGAAAGCGTTATCTCGTTCCTGAAAGAGAATTTTCTAGCTTCAAGTGGTTTCAAGCTTGAAACAGAGGATCTTAAAAGTTGAAACAGAGATGTTTTATCTCAGAATGTCTGAAAAAGATCCTTTTGGACACAAGGAAGCCAATAAATCTGAAACAGGCAATGTTGACTTTGAAATGGTTCAGATTCAAACTTTTTGCCAATCTCCTATTTCACAGTAACAATGAATGTCATCCCCGTTGCTAGCTAAAAAGCAGATCCAGAATTCATATATATATATATATATTTATTACAATATGATACTTTGTCAAAGCTGTTTATTTTAGAAGACGTCTTTATGAGCATATAAATAAACGTTTATAAACATTTCTATGGATATTATTTGCCGAGTCTAGAAAAAAGGTTCCTTAAATAACCTTTTGCCATTTTTTGCTTATTGGAAAATATTAGACAATATTTGCTCTCCAACACATTGCGGATTTTTATATATTGAAAATAGAATATGTAGCTTTTGTTTTAAAAAAATATTATCTAATATAACACCTTCCTAAGGAAGGTTTCTATCAGGCTTCATATATAATTTTTTTTACAAAGTTACTTATCATTAATGTCTGCATTTTTATCTGCATCCTGTGCTATTTTTCTCATGGTTTTTATCAAAAATACACAGCGCTGGTAAAAAAAACGAAAGAGAGCGAGCCAGAGAACAAGAACTAAATACAATATATTCTGCACTCCAACAGATTTGCCTATTTTCTTGTCACAATTTATGATGTCTAATCATTCTTGCAATTCTAATTTTACTGTCATCTCTTCTTGCCTTCTGGCAGTTCAGCGCATGTGTGCTCTGGAAACAAGGGGAGCCTGGTTTTCTGCCTTGCTGATGTCCGACTTTGGAGGCTCCAGAGGCAGCATGTAACTCCCAGAAGGCCCTGGCCCCCTCTCTGCCTCTGACAAAGAGCCCTCAACAGAACCTTCTCCAGACTCCAGGACTGGTCCATGTTCCTCCCCAACCTCCTTGCTGTCCAACTCTGCTGCCAACTCCACAGGCTGCTGGTGGACCATAACACCTTCAGCTACAATTTGTTACACACATTTGCTTGATGAGTAAGTCCTGTTCATACCTACTGAGATTGATTTCTGGCCAAGATTGCAAAATTAGTAATTCCTAGTAATGCCTATACCTCCTTACTGTAGATGAGTCAGCTCTATCTGTTTCTGAAGACTCAACTCTTGATGATGTCCAAGAGTCAACTCTCCTCATGCTGTTTTTTTCGCTTGATTTTTTTTTTGGGGGGGGAGTAAGAATTGTTGTGGCCCACCAGTGGCCAGCAGAGCTGGTGACAGACTCAGACAGTGAGGAGGTTGGGGAGGAACATGGGCCAGTCCTGGAGTCTGGGAAAGGCTCTGACGAGTGCTCTGTGTCAGACGCAGAGATGGGCCAGGGCTGTCCCACAGTTATCAGCTGCCTTTGGAGTCAGAGATCAGTGGGTCAGAATAACAGCTGGAGCCTGTTCCCGATGTGCGCATGTGCAGAGTTGCCAGACGAAGGGAACAGCTAAGGAATGAGGGCTGATTCGGGAGTAAAGGCACAGTTCGACAGTGAATGGCCCCTCCCATAGGGAATAAAGAGGAACAAAAGGGAAGGGAGTTTGCAGGAGACAATTAGTTCAATTCATTAGGGTGAATATCTGTTCCTGACTTCTTGCCAAGTAATTGCTGCTACAGAGTGGCGTTTGGAAGATATCAGCCTGGCAGCTTTCCAAGCCTGATAAAGGTCTGCAGTTGTGAAATCTCATGAAAGACTGTTTGCCGGGACTTTGCTGGAGAGGAATTCCCTTTAACCTAAATCAAAGAGGAATCTGCTTCATGATCTTGGGAAGTCTAGGTCAGAACAAGAATTCATACTAATCTCAAGACCAAATTCCTGCAAGGCTGAAAATATTCGAAAGGAAATGAGGTGGCCTCTTACCTGCTGGAACAATGACTCTTCTCTCATTGGTGGTCATGTTGGGAGGGGGAGGTCCGTTCTTCTCATCTATGTAGGTGCCATAATTCAAAGGGTTGGATTCTGGACCAGCACCAACCAGTTTGTTGCATTTGCTAACACTGCAATCCACTGGAGATTCCCTGAAAATATAAAGCAGAGTTATCAAAGTCAATATTAACCCAGCTTTGCTTTTTGGTTTCTGGATCCTTTTGCCAACACTACAAGTTAAAGCCAAAGGAATGTATTCATTTATGATGGAAATAATAGGTAGTCCTTGACTTCCATTCATTCATGTAGTGACCATTTGAAGTCGCAGCAGCACTAAAAAAAGTGACTCTTGACCATTTTTTGACCACTGTAGTATCCTCATGGTCACATGATCAAAAACCAGTTGCTTGACAACTGATTCTAATTTATGATGGTTGCCGTGTTGCCTTTTGGGACCTTCCATCAAGCAAAGTCAACGAGGAAGCCAAATTCTCTTAACAACTGTGCTACTAGCTGAACAACTGCAATGATACACTTAACCCCTGTTGCAAGAAAAGTTGTTAAATCATAGTTTTGTGTATCTGTACCAGGTTTAGAAAATGAGGTGGTATCAACAGTGGGTGTGGTATTTATAATAGTATCTTTAAAGCCCTTAGTGGATGATAACTCAAGTCCATAAATACCTTCCCCTACATCACTCAACTCACATGCTAAAGTTAGTAAGGGAAGTCCTGCTTATGGTTTCACCTCTGGACCTGAAGATTAAGCTGCTCCACAACTTGAGTTGTCTCCATGGACCCACAAGGGCTCAACGGTGAGTTCTCCTAAGACCTAGAACAGTGTTTCTCAATGTTGGCAACTTGAAGGTGTCTGGACTTCAACTCCCAGAATTCCCCAGCCAGCATTCGCTGGCTGGGGAATTCTGGGAGTTGAAGTCCAGACACCTTCAAGTTGCCAACATTGAGAAACACTGTTCTAGGTCTTAGGAGAACTCACCGTTGAGCCCTTGTGGGTCCATGGAGACAACTCAAGTTGTGGAGCAGCTTAATCTTCAGGTCCAGAG